GCTCCTTACCCACACCCATACTTCCCCTTCTTTCTTGATTTTATCCTGCCCTCAGGTGGTCTTGTGCTGGAAGTGAAGTGGGCTCCCCTTCCCAGGCCCTGGGGTTGAATCTTGATTGGTCTAAGCCAGTCTTTAACATTCTACTCCCTTTGCTAGCAGTTGGGGTGGGAAAGGGCATAGGATGCTATTTGGTCAATGGGAGTTAGGGGAGGTCAGCTGGAAAAGGGGGCTTCTAAGAAAGTTTTCATAGACACAGGAAGGAGCATTCTCTTTTGTGCCTCTTTGCATTAGGGCATAAGGGTATGATGCTCGGAGCAGTGGCAACAACGTTGAAGCCATGAGGGGACAAGCCTGACACCAAAAGTCAACTCACAAGGTCCTTGAAGATAATGAAGATGTTGATGAGTTACTGAATTAACCAAGCCTAGAGCCACTCTATCCTTGTTATGTGTGACAGACACTGTTAACTGTCCTCCTCTGTCCCTTCTTCTTGCCTAGAACACACTGAGTTTTAACTGCCCATCGGTTCCCCCAGCTCCAGACGGTCTTGGCAGCTGGGTGTGGCCAAATGATTAAGTCCAGGCCAGTGGGATGTGAGCAGGGAGGGGCGATGTGGCCAACTTCTAGATTAAAGATAGGTGCCTTGGGGGCACCCGGGAGGCTCTGTCGCCTGGGTTAAGCATCTGATCCCTGATTTCGGCTCAGGTTGGGATTTCACGGTTTGTGAGATCAAGCCCGGTGTAGGGCTCTGCAGCGACAGCCGGGAGCCTGCTTGGGATTCCCCCCCTCTCCCTCTCTCTCTGCCCCTCCCCGGCTCGCAGGCCTGTTCTCTCTCAAAATAAATAAATGAACTTAAATAAATAAAGACGTTTGCCTTGGGCACTCTCTTCCCCCCTTCCCGCTGGCTAGAAAATGGGAGCAGCTGGAGCCTCTTGGATGCGGCATCTTGGGGAAGGCAGGACGCCCCACGGGCCTTGGAGCGCTCAACTTCCATGGCTCAGTCCGCCATGATGTGAGAGAGGAAGAGCTTCTTGCCTTATTTAGGCAACTCTGCTTTGGAGTCTTCATTACGGCAGCTTCCTGAGTACCTTACCCGTGATGTCACGGAGGCACCTTAAGTTGATGAGTCTCTGATCTTCTCTCTCTCCTTGGAAGATGGTGGGGATTGGGGCTGGGTTCCGCTCCGTGTGCGTGTGTGGGACCACGGCTGTGACGAACGTCTTCCTGTTTGGGGACCTCGCCCCACAGTTGAGTCTCACCCACCACCTTGGTTTCCCCCTGCTGTGGCCCCTTGCCCAGGAAAGCGGGCTCCCCTTCTGCCACAGCCCAGATCACCCCTGAGTCCACGGCCGTCCTGAAGCCATGTCGGGTCTCAAGCTCCGACCTCAGAGCGGAATTCCCAGCGTGCCTTGCGCTGGGCTGGCCCATGTCAGGATGAGCGGAGGCTTAGGAATAAGTGAACCCTGAAACCAGACTTCTGGGAATTAGGCACTCGGATGGAGGACGTTCCAATTTAATATTTAGACAAGAAGTTGAATATTGATACCGAGGCCAGGGGGAATGTTCCCGTAGCCCCGCGCTGCTGGGAAAGCTCCTGTCTCTCTGGCCTGGCCTTGGCCAGCCGGGAGGGTTCATTAAATTATTGACCAGACACCTGCCTCAGACCCTGCTGGGCCCCCCGTCAACCCCCACACCCCCAGTAAAGGGCTGGGTCCCCATCTCCTTCCCCAACAAGAAAAACATCTGCAAACACACAGCCAGAAACAAACCAAACAAACCGCAGCGCTCCAAGCATCTGATTACGGTCCCCAGGGCAGGCTTCCCTGGGAGCCCGCCCCTCCCTTCCCCTTTCCGAGAACTGGAGAACTCGGTTGCCCGGCAAATGTTCCAGCTGCTACTACGAAGTGGGGGGAAGGGAGGGGAGGGGCCGCCCAAGGCTGCGAGCTTGGGATGGGGCACAGGGTCTCTGGGGGAAATCAGGTGGAGGCAGAGGAGCCAGGAGGGGGTGGGTGCTCTGTTCCGTGAGAGTTGCACAGGGAGGTCAGGAAGAGCCCTCTCCAAAACAAAAAAAGAAAAAGGAAAGGCCCTCTCTAGCTCCCCCAGCCTGCCTCCTGCCTGCTCAGAGCTCAGGCTTCAGGCCAGCCTGGGGCTGGGTTCAAATCTCGGTATTGCTGCCTACTTGCTAAGCCTCAGTTTCCCCAGGGAGCATTTAACATATAAATGTAACATATAAATGTACCCCATGCCAGGAGCCCCGCTGGCCCATTTGAAGGTCACAACCGTGCAAGAATGGAGCACGAGGTGGGTGGGGGAGGCTGGGGTCCTCCAGACTGGGTGGTGAGGGTGGCACCTTCCGGCCTCACAGCCAGGGGATGAATCAGCCGCTTCCCCTTCTCTGCCTGCACACACCCATCCTCTCGGCCTCTTTTCTCCAGGCCGCGGCTGTTATTTCTGGCCAGCTGGATCCTGACCCGGTTTGTATCTGCTGCATCAAGAGGCTGGGCGTGGGGCTCAGCGAGGTACAGTCCCCCAACTGTCGGGTTGAGGGAGGGAGGGTCCTTTGCGGAACGTGGAAGAGGAGAACTCACCTCAGTGCCCCCCTCCGCCTCCCCCTGCCCACTTTCTCGGAGGAAGGATGCCAGGAGCATCTGAGACTTCTCCCGTTCTCGGCCCCGCCTGGCATGATGTGAAGAGAGTCCGGAAGCCAAGGCTGCCTCCTGGGCCCCATTTCCAGAATGGGGTGCTCTTAGGTCTGTAAACATTTGGCCAGGCTGCGCTCCTGCAAAACGGGCTTCCGCTCGCTGCTCCGGCCTGGCCTGACCTCTGGGTTCGAAGGTGGCACGGGTGCCCAAGGCCCCGCGATCTTACTGATGCTCCCTGCCCGGGGAGACGGGATCCAGAGCTGCTCCCTCAGCTCTGCGTGGACTTCTGGGAACTTCTTGAGGCTTCCCCACCCCCGCTCCCCATCCCAAAGTTACATGGATGTGCCTCACTGGGAGCCTGAGCCCAAACCCAGCAATAGCCCTGAGGGGGCTCGGACGCACCTCTGCCCTTCAAGATCTTTGGGGACGGGCCAAGAATCCAATAGTAGTCAAAGGTGCCTGGAAGCTGTGGGGCAGGAAGGGCAGTCAGGGAAGGCTTCCTGGAGGGGACATCAGCCTTATGGGAAGGAACACGAAGAGTCTGTTGGTGAAGACGGTTGGGAAGGGCATTACAGGCATAGAGTAGCCATGACAGAGGGAGGGGAGTCAAGCATTTGCAGTGTAGCCGGAGTGGAGGGGCCTTGCTCCAGGCTGCAGAGGGAGGCAGGACAGTGGCGATGGGCAATGCTGGGCCTGAGTTAGGCTTCGTTCCACAGACAACGCTTAGGGTGAGCAAGTGACGTCCTCTGTTCACCTCTGTGTGCTGGGACCTAGCACTCACGACAGCTAAATGACTGATTAACCGATGCTTGATCCTAGGAGGGCATCTTACCTGCCTAAGTAGAGCTACATAGAATATTTATACGATTGAAGTAAAAACTGCTTGTTCCAGAAAAAATTTAAAAGATAGGAGAATGATGTTGTGGTTCGAGAAATAACTTACGTATAATCCATTGTTCTCATCAAAATATCACTTGTTCTTGAATACCCCTAGAGCCAGGGAGCTCACTTCTTAACAAGGCTGCCCAAGAGGCTCTGCAGGCAGAATCCAGGGGTTTCTAGACACCTCCCCCTTGGCTGCCAGCGTGCAGCCTACTGAGCCCCAGAGTCCCTGGCAGTGTCGTGGTCCCGTGGGGGGAGTGCTTCTCCAGCCTGGCCAGAATGCCCAGCTCTGAGATGCTTCCTCAACACCAACCAGCTGGGGCCTCGCCTGGCAGAGAGCATTTTCCTCCGACCCAGCCCTGGGGCTGCCAGCAGGGTACCTCTGGTCTCTCTGGGGATCTTGGCCAGGCATCCAAGGGGAGGCAGGAGGGACCCCCAGGCCCAGGGGCAGCATGGCCCTGCTCTGGTCATGGGCTCCTGGGGTGTCTCATCTGCCCCATTTAGGTTATGCCCTGCCCGGCAGGGATGGGAACACAGGCTCCCCACCCCACCCCCATCCCCAGCTGTCAGCTTCCTGGGTGCTGGGTCCCTGGACTCTGCTCTCTGGGCAGCTGGCTGAGTGACCTCAAGCATGTCACGACCCTCTCCAGCCCCAGAGGCTCCCCCATCTGCAGAATGGGGTTAATGTGGGCTGTGTGAGCAGATTTGTTTTACCAACCACCAAACGCTGGGTGTCAGGGCATCACTTTTATTATATTTATTATTATCATGTGTTGATCGTGGGCAGGGTTGGGGGGTGTTTTCCTTAAAATGCTTTTCCTGAGCCCAAAGAACTCCACGCCCCCATGCCCTGGAGTGGCCACTGGCACATGTCACCCTTGCAACATCTCCGGAAGGAAGAAAGAGTGGGGTGGGCACGCAGGCCTCCCCCAAAGGCCTCCTGGGCCAGCTCTGCTGGTCTCAGAGCCTCTGAAAAAGAAACCAAAAGCAGAAAAGAGCAAGGCACCTACCTGGGTTCACGAGGGTTCGCGCCCCCTGCTCTCCTACAGGCTGCCCGCCCCCCCCCGCCCCCGGCTCCTCAGGGGCGCTCCTCGCCTTCCTGTCCCCTTTGCTTGGGTTTATCTTGGCCCCGCCAGCCTGGCTTCCCTGTGGTGCCCCGGAAGATGCTCTGGTGTTCACAACGGCTCTGGTGTGTTGTCTAGAAGACCCGGGGGTGGGGGGGTGCTCACCCAGCCCGCTCCAGCTGATTCTGGCTGGGCCCCTCCCCGCCCTGCGCTGGCTGCCTTCAGCCTGAGCTAGCACCCTGGCCTGGGGGTGTCCCACCAGCCTCGCACTAAAGGGAGTGTATCCGGGGGCCTGTGGCGTGTCCTCCAAGAACACCTCTCCAGCCAACAGCTCTCCGCCCTCCCCCCAGCCCGCCCTGAATCCGAATCTGGGGCTGCAGCAACATGAGCCCCTGTCTCCCAGGCATTCCTGTCTAGCCTCCCCGGGAAAGATGACCCTTCTCCATCAGGATACCCTTTGGGGTGCAGGGGGTGGGGGCGGCCCGACAGGGCGCTCACAAGTACATCTTCATGGCCTCGTGTGTCGTGGGGCAGTAGCGGGCGTGGAGCTGGGCCAGCAGCGCCCTGGACGTGGCCTCGAAGCGCGTGCCCTGGCTCTTCTTGTTCCACACGTGCACAGCGTAGGTGCCACTGAGCAGCCGGCGCAGCTCCTGGGGGCTGATGTCCTCGAAGTACTTCTTCCAGTTCTGCCAGGGGATGGGGTAGAAGGCCTCAGGGGGCAGCGTGGTGACCCCGCGGCAGGCGCGGCTGTCGCCCAGGCTGCGGATGGAGCACCACTTCTTGAAGACCCGCGTGAGCAGCTGCGGGCCCTGGTGGCCCCAGATCCAGCCGTTGTAGTGGGCCACGAAGTCACGCATGCACAGCGCCATGAACTCGTGGTGACGCTCAAAGGCCAGGAAGGCCCCATTGAGGACGTAGCGGGACTGAGCGCCCAGCGTGTTGGTCAGATTCCGCAGGTTCCTGAGGACGATGAAGTCCGTGTCCAGGTAGATGCCCCCGAACTTCCACATGAGCGCGATCCTGGAGGCGTCGGAGAGCACGGGCAGCAGGTAGGGCTCCCAGCGGCGCCGCCGGGCCACGTACCAGGCCTCCAGCGGCGTGTTCCGGAACAGCTCCTCCAGGTCCAGCGGGAGCATGTGGACGTTGGGGAAGCAGCCCAGGAGCGAGAGCCCCAGGTGCCGGGGCAGGGAGGCGTTCCCGCCAGGCAGCCCCTTCATCAGGACCGCCACCCGGGACTCGGGGTGCGCCCTGGCCGCCGACTCCACTGAGCACATGAATAGGAAGTTGGGGTTGGTCCGGTCCGAGGTCTCCAGGAAGAAGATGTTGCCCAGAGGCGGGGCGCTGGGGATCAGCGTAGGGGCCACCAAGTGGGGGCAGGGGACGTCGGCAGGCAGGTTAGAGAATTCCCTTTGGCCGCCAGGCTCTCCTGCAATGTGCCAGTAGATCATGACGGAGACGAAAAACGTGAACTTGAAGCTGATGATAAACAGGGTGCAGACCCGCTGCCTTGGGGCTCCCCGGAGCAGCCGCAGCAGGCGGTCAGGGGCCCTGGACATGTTCTCCCCAGATGACACCAGGAGACTCCAGCAGGAAGTGGCCGGTCTGCAAGAGATGCGCATCGCATCAGGGCACGCTGCCACGTCCCTAGCTCGGAAAACTACCTCCCTCCACCACCAGCCGGAGCTTCCAAAGCCCAGCTAGGGGGCCCGTGGGGGGCCCGCTGGTCTCAGAGCGCCATCTCCTTCCTCACCTGGGAGGCTGGCACCGTGGGCCATGGGCCGAGGTCTGGGCAGAGCCCCTTTTGCTCTCTGTGACACGCCTGTGAGCTTCCCAAGGACTGAGCCAGTGCTACCTACGACACGTGGCCACCACGGGCTCAGGCAGGGGTTGTCAGAGGTGTGACACACAGGCCTCTGCCTGGTGAGGCCGGTCCCCCTCGGGTTGCCGGCAGCCTGTGATTCAAAGCCTCACGCTTTACCCCTCAGCCCCATTCAGTTGCACAGACCGGCTGGAACTGCTCCAAGGAGGCAGATGGCCAAGCAGCCTTGGGGACTTTCAGCAGAAAAGCCCGGGGCTCAGGGGCCTGGGCGCTGGCTGCTAAGGGGCTGGCTTGCAAGTTTGCAGGACAGGTGGGCTCCAGGCACATGGGGATGCGTGCTGGGTCCTAAAGCCCTTGCCTCAGACACTGTGGGGCTCCTGGGCACCTGGCTTCCCCAGCCCCTTCCCTGGGCTGTGCTTATAGATGCAGGTCTGGAGGGATAAGGGCATAGGGGGGTTGTCCTCTCCTGTCCATTCCTGCCTGGGAGAAAACCGGCCAAGGGGATGTGGGAGTGTGCTTGGCACTTTGGAGACTGCACATTCACCTGGGCTGTTCTCACTATTCACAGGATGCTGGCCACCATTTAGTCAGTGCCTTCTAAATTCCTGGTGCCCCAAGCACACCCACTTTGGCTCTCCGTAACCCCAGGGGTAGATGTATCCCTTCTCCTTTAGAGGCCAGGAAACTTGGACACAGAGGGGTGGAGGCTGCAGGCTAAGGGGAGCCGGAGTCCACCCTTCCCCAGGACAGACGATCTCTCGGCCTGAGAGTGAGACTGAGCAACTGGCCAGCCCTCCTGGTGGGGGGCCAGGAACCGCGATGACGTCACTGGCTGGTAACTGACCAGCCTGGGCGGCCCATGGCGGCGAGGCGGGGACCCGGGCAGCCTGGCAGCCCCCCCGGAGACACGGCCTGGCTCAGTTGCGACCCTTCTCTGCCAACAGGAACTCGGCCCTTCCACAAGCTCTGCGCGTCCACAAATCCATCTGTAAGACACAGAGAGACACGGAGTGAGGAGGGCGGCAGAGTCGGCCCCCAGCCGCGCAGGGGGATGTTCATTGATGTGTGGACTGTCTTCGCCCCAGAGGGAAAGGAGGAGCTGGGGTGTGGCTGTGCCCTGGAGAAGCTCTCGGGAGTGGGGAGATCATCTGGAAGCGAGAACAATGCGCGAGTGACAGTTGAAAGGGGCAAAGGGTCTGGCAGGGCCAGGGAAAGTGGCTTCCGGAGAGGTGACCCTGATGGAGGGGCCGCAGCCGGACGGGCCTCCGTAGCACCGGGGGCCCACACCTTCCCTCCCCGGAGCCCAGCTCAGTCCTTGGCACATAGTAGGGACATAAAAATTGATTCACCCTTTCATCAATCTGCTCACTCACTGACTCTCTCCCCTGGTAGCTAGAGGGACGCTTCAAAAACACAAGCCAGACCACGTCATTCCTCTGTACAGAACCTCGGTGACAGAGCAGGCCCCCTCAACCAGGTACCCCCATCCCTGACCTCTCACCCCACCTGCCATGCCCCAGCCACACCTGGCCTCCTCACTCTTTTTCAACCCCACCCCCACCCACGTGCCGCCATCTCAGGGCCTGAGCCCTTGCTGTTCCCTCGGCTTGGAATGCTCTTCCCGTAGGTGTTCACCTGGCTCCTTCCCTCACCTCCCTCTCGTCCTCAAAATTCACACCTCTCCAGCCCTTATGTCCAACTCCCTTGTCGTTTTCATGGTCCCCTGTGATCGAGCATCCTGAATATTTTGTACTCACTGTTTGGGTTATTTATTTATTTATTTTTTAAAAAAATGTTTTTACTTATTTCTGAGAGAGAGAGGGAGAGACGGCATGAGCAGGGGAGGGTCAGAGAGAAAGGGAGACACAGAATCTGAAGATAGGCTCCAGGCTCTGAGCTGTCAGCACAGAGCCTGACGTGGGGCTCGAACCCACAAACCGTGAGATCATGACCTGAGCTGAAGTCGGACGCTTAACCAACTGATCCACCCAGGCGCCCCTTGGGTTATTTACTTGAGGCACAACACAAAGACAGGTATTTTTTGCTGCTTGTTCAGCATCTAGAATAAATGGCCCTTGGTACGTAGTTCCTAAATATCAAGTTCCTAAATATCACACCACCGCGACTCAGCGGGTGGGTGAATAAATGGAGGTGCAAGTGAGTGAACAAAGGAGCAGATCCATGAATGGTCAGCAAGTGAATGAATGAATGCATGAATGAATGAGTGGGCAAGTCAGTGAGTCAGCAAATCAGCACGTGACCCGATGAAGCAGTGAGCGTGTGTGTGAGGAAACTGGTCTGCGGTCAGATGAGCAGCCTGGGACACCCCCCCCCCGCCCCCCTGCTTGGTCAGGAGTGGCAGGGCCCATACAAATCAAGAACCTTGCCCCCCCTCCCGCCCCCTGCCCGGTTTTCCCCTGTGGGGAGAGGCTATTTTGGTCCTGAGTATTTTTAACCCAGTGTGAACCACACCGAGGAGTGGACAGACAGTTGGATCGAGCAAGGTCCTGGCTGCCCAGGGGCCCAGAGGTGCTGGGGTGACGTGGATCTTCCATGGGCTTGGCGGGGGGGGTCTGGGCCTGCTGGGGAGGCAGGATTTGCCAGCGGAGCCCGCGCCTACCACAGAGGGCAGTACCAACGCCGAGCAGAGCCGTATTTGGTCCTGGAGCCCAAGACCCAGGAATAGAAACCATGCATGGGCCAGGTTGGCCACAGCCAAATACCCGTGTGACCTCAGGCCCGAGGCATGCTCCCCCCCAACCCCCCCACCCCCCAGCTAGGCCTCGCAGCTCTGGCTCAAGTCCTGACCCTGTCAGGAAAGCCTGACACACAGCTGCTGCCTCCTCCCGCCTCCAGCCCTGCACCAGGGACAGGCTTCCAGTTAGCTTGTTAACTGTGGCCACTTCCCTGCCCTGGGCCTTTCCATGGTTCTCCATCATTAGGGACCCCCCCACCCCGCCATGATCCATCTCAGGCAGGATGTGGGGATGAGAAGCACACAGCTGGTGGGCCAGAGGGCCAAAGGCCTGACCACCCTCTGCATTGGCCCTTGGCCTTAGTTTCCGGGGCCCCACATCAAGAGCATCGGCATCAGGGACCAGACCCAAGTGCCTAGGAATGGTTCTGCTACCTGAAGATTGTCATTCTTTCGTGGCCTACAATAGGGACATCTCCCCTCTGACCTTCCCTCGGCTCCCATGTCCAGCCTAGCTCAGCCCAGGGGTGGCTGACCATGACCCAGGCAGAACAGGGTCACAGTGATGGTCAGACACAGTCCTCACTGGACCTGTCGGGATGGGTGCTCACTGCCCCCGGGGCTCCGGAGCGAGGCCCCTGGAGATTCTGATATCCCAAGTGGGACACAGAGGCCCAGAGAGGGAAAGGGATTCGGCTAGGGTCTCACGGCATCAGAGGTTGGAACCGGAACCCTTAGCGAGCTCTTCCTATCCCTCTGCAAGAAACATCCCCTCCCCTCGCCTTCCTCGAGATGCTTCAGGAGGCTGACAGCCCAGCAGGAGCCTCAAACCACAAAACCAAGGAGACATACGAGGAACCAGACCCTGATCAGCATCTCGTGTCAGTGACTGCTGAAACCGACGACCACAACTTTGGGCCCTAGCGCAGACACGTATTTTCTCACAGTTCTGCAGAGTGGAAGTCCAAGTCCATGGTGTCAGGGGGACCACGCCCCCTCGCGGGCTCTGGGGGAGAACCGTTCCTTGCACATTCCAGTTCCTGGCGGCTCCAGGCATTCCTGGGCTTCGGCCACTTCCTCCTACCTCTGCTTCTGTCCTCACACGTCTTCTCCTATATGTGTGTCTTCTGCTCTGTCTCTTGTAAGGACACCTGTCATTGTATGTATGGCCCACCTCGCTAATCCAGGATCACCTCCTCATCTCAAGATCTTTAACTTAGTAACACCTGCAAAAACCCTTCTTCCAAAGGAGGTCACATTCACACGTTGCAGGGTTAGGACGTGACGTACCTTCTTCGAGGCCACTATTCATCTCGCTGCCCCCTTTCCATGTCTCTCTGTCCTGGAGTCTCAGAGCCACTCTCAGGTCACACACTGCCTGGCATGTCATTGAAATGGCAGCCCGAGAGTGTGCCTAGGAGGGCCTCCCTGCATGACAGGGCAAAGGCGTTAGATGTCACCTGCCCCGGGGAGTCCCAGTGGAGATGAGGCAGCCGTCTGCTGGCTTTGCCTGCCCAGCACCCATCACCCCTCTTCTGATAACGGTACCCTGATTTCCTTTGAGGGACCACCTCTCACCCACAGACAGCCCCCCCCCCCCCCCAGCTCTCGAGCTCTTGGGGGCTGGCACACGATTCAGATCTAAGGACTGTCATGGTCTCCCGGCCACAGTGAGTAGCTGGGGGGCAGGGCATGTAACCTAACCCAGGAGCCTTCCAATGGGGTCTCTGAGATGGGAGGGAGGAGCTGGAGGGAGAGTCGGTGTCAGGATGAAGCTGGCCCAGAGGCAAGCGGAGCCAAGCGATGGAGAGTGAGAGTTGAATGATGAGGTCATCTTTACATCGGATCCTGCTTTTGAAGCTGGTACATCCTGCACTTCTTAGTCATGCCGACCAATATATATACACACACATGGACACAGAGGAAGGGAGAGGGAGGGAGGGAGGGGGGTGAGGGAAGAGCCTGCCAAACTGAAAGCAGGGACACTTCTGGAGAAGGGACAGGATCAGGAACTCAGACCCTCTTTGGTGGGAAAAATCAATACCTACAGCTCAGAAACCCTGCTTGAAGGGTCCCCTATCCTGTCCCTGCACCTCCGCCTCCCTGCCCCCATCTTTCAGGGCATAAATATTTCTCTTAAAAAATTTTTTTTAATGTTTAGTTTTGAGAGAGATAGAGCACGAGCAGGGGAGGGGCAGAGAGAGGGAGACACAGAATCTGAAACAGGCTCTAGGCTCTAAGCTGTCAGCATAGGGCCTGACATGGGGCTTGAACCCACGAACCATGAGATCATGACCTGAGCCGAAGCCAGATGCTTAACCAACTGAGCAGCCCAGGCGCCCCAATAAATAAGTATTTCTACTGAAGAAGTAGGAGTTACAGTTATTAGAAAGTGATCCTTGTAAAAATGGCTGTTTTCAGAGTGGAGGTTATAAAATGTTCCTCCTTCAGAGCCTATAAGATGTTCTAAAGCCAGAAATCAAGTGAGTAATGGCTTGCTCTTTGGGGAATATTAGACATAAAAATTAGGGAGGTAGAGACTTCTTTTTCCAATAGGAATAAGGCAGATTCTTTCCCCCTTTGCTGATGTCATACAGAGCAACAGGGAAAAGAGAAAATAAACCACAAGCTATAGTGTTAGCAAAACCAGGGCATGAAAAACCCATGAACTCCAACTCACAAAGCTGGAACTGAGTTGGGCAGATACAGCAGTGGGGTGGGGAGGAACGGGGCGTAGGGGGGCCCAGGAGTGGAAGATCGTAGAAATCGCCACTTCTAAAAGGAGGACAAATAAGTTAGAAGAGAGAAGCTGTAGCCTGAATGAAGCAGGAGAGTTCAAGGTTGGAGGCAGGTGTCCCCTTGAACCCGGTTGGGTTCTGTGAGGCGAAAGAGTGGTGGATCCAGAGAAGGGTTGCATTTTACAGGAACAATCCATTTCCATCAAAACAGAGGAGGGAGACTTTGAACAGAGAAACTTAGAGAACTAGTCTGGCCTCTCTCCCAATTTCTACCAAAACCTCCTGTTAAATGCTGATCCAGGAAAATTCAACCAATTTAAATATAAAAAACAACGGCTAAAGGAATAAACACGGTGTCCATATAAGGATTCTACAAGAATGAAAGGGGAAAGGAACACTAATGTTCTCTTATGTAGAGAAACTATTCACTATAGTTTAAAAATACACTATAGGGCCGCCTGGGTGACTCAGTCGGTTGGGCATCTGACTTCGGCTCAGGTCATGATCTCGCGGTTCATGGGTTCGAGCCCTGTGTCGGGCTCTGTGCTGACAG